AGAATTTCTCTCAATTGTGCACCTGTTTCGCTTCTCTACATAAGATTGTCATTGATGAAGCCATAGCTGTAAATTTCACCTAAACTTCAGTAAATCTTATGAAATTTAACGGCCGCTAATGATAAGGCGGTAAAGCGTAGAATATTTATTACGAAAATACAAGTGGTAGATGTAAAGTGGGTTTAAAATGTAAAACTTTTAAGTTCTAGTTCGTTCAGACTGAGTGCCCTGCAAAGCGCTCGGCACAACACCAATGTGAACACAACATTTTAATGGTGCCCAAATCAAAGTGCTCGGTCTGGACACTACGAAAATAGATAGTACTTAAAATTACGGTGCTTGAGCACGGGCACCAATGTGAACGACGACACCTGAATAACGTGTACAGAAAAAGCACACGTTTCAATAATCATTTATTAACGACAATTATCATCTCGTTAATACACTTCATCAACGAATATTAATAGAATGCCATTTAATTTACTGTATTATTTTGAAGGTTTTAAAAGGAAAAGTTTAAAAGTTGATTTCAAGTTCAACCACAAATTGTTTGCTATTTTATGTTGTAAAAATTTATTTGCGCGCTATCCTTTCAGTTTTTGCACGTTTTCTGACAGCATTTTTTGCATTGGAATTTGGAAAAACTTTTCAATTCCCTCTCGACTGCTAATACTTATAACCATTTATTTTTTGTCTTCTTTTTGATCTCGTATCAGCCTGTTTCAACCTTCTCGTAATAATAGACGTGGTTACGTAAATTCTTCTCATTCTGGTACTTCTCGCCTTAAAAAGACAAATTGCAATTTCTCTAATGCAAGTGCCTGTATCCAGGATTTATCATCGGGTAAAATCATTGAGTAAAATATTGGACAGAAATTAAAGGAGACAAATTATCTCATTAGCTATGTGCTATAAAATTTCAAATTTCAAAATAACTTCATGTTATCATCGGGTTTGAATCATTTTGAAAATATTCGAGTGTTTAACCGTCTCTTTCTATGTCTTCTATGTGATCATTCTCATGTAATCTTATCATCATGTTAGATTTAGCCTAGGCCAATATTCAATGAGATAATCGAATAACAATATTTTTGAACTTTGAACGAAAAATTTCGTTTAAGTAATAAAGTAAATACTTCGAACATTAGTTTTCGTGCACTAAAAAGTTGAAATTTGTTTTTCATATTAGAAGAGTTAATTGATATCGTCAAATTGAAAACGCATAAATTGAACGAAATTTTAAGACTTTGATACTCAAACATGGGGAAACAAGAAAATTCATTTCCGTGCATTATTAACCCAAATGGGGTCCTTTTTTGGCAAGAAAATATACTTATGGTTCCATTCTCTTGTATCAATAATGGCGGAATTAGTTGTTCATAATATCCTTTTATGTCTTCCACTCTGACCTTTATTGTTTTTATATGCATTGTTAAACGTGTTAAATTCTCTAATCATAAAAACCTAGCTATATTTTAAACAGATCAATACATGATTAAAGTACTTACTGTATTAAGAGAAACATATTTTATTTCTTGTTATTGGTATAAATACATTAAAAACATCTTTTTTTAGTTTTATTCTTGACTAAAATACAGGTCTTACAAAAGTTTGTATCTGATTGTCAAGTACTTCCTATCATAAATTTGAATCAGTTTGTTTGTCTTCTATAGATGCAATAATCATTGTTTTAGATGTAATCAAATACTTTCAACTTGTGGTAATCAATATCATTGTTGACATGTCGACCACAAAGCCTGTTTACGCGCAACCTGAAGTCGACCACAAAGCCTTTTGGACACAATTCGAGAAAAGCCTGTTTACATGCCTACAAATTCTCAGAATTGATGTTTTAAGCCAAGCTCAATTTCTATCCACTTGAGGTCATTATCTATAACTATGTATTGATATTTTTAAAAGATTTTCTTTTTGTTTGTCTATGTCGTGGAATTGCCCTACAATAGAAAATTTTTCTATACTTTTAAGTCTCAAAATATAATCACTTCTTTATTATATTTGTAAATTTCTTCATCTAAATCACTCATTCTCATATGAACAACATTAACATAAAATTTTTTTATTTTTGAAATAATCGAATGATAAAATCAAATGCAACGTCAACAAGCTGGGATGCAGAATTTGCTGAAGACTCGTGACAACAGACTCCATCGTAAATTGCAGAAACAATTTGCCAACAGAAACAACTGGCAAGAATGAAGAAATCAGGTTTGTAATAAACTTAGTTGAGGGAGGGGAGGGAGGGTAAGTTTTAAGGTGCAACCTCAGTGAAGAAAGTGAACAAAAGAATTGTGATAGTGTGTTACATGTATGTAAACTTTGAACTCCAAAGGATACATTATAAATTTGTAGTAATTATGCGACTTGCATAAGATATTATGGTACACAAACGGATGTACCTCAACCATGAACACCTCGGAGGATACATAATAAATATGTAGTAACGTGACTGTACACTTATGGATATATTGTAATTTTATATCTATATATTTAACTTAAATGTAGACTCCTCAGAGGATACATAATAAATATATAGTAACATGATTGGTACACTTATGGATATACTGTAATTTTATATCTATATATTTAACTTATATGTAGACTCCTCAGAGGATACATAATAAATATGTAGTAACATGACTGGTACACTTATGGATATACTGTAATTTTATATCTATATATTTAACTTATATGTAGACTCCTCAGAGGATACATAATAAATATATAGTAACATGACTGGTACACTTATGGATATACTGTAATTTTATATCTATATGTTTAACTTATATGTAGACTCCTCAGAGGATACGTAATGCATCTGTGATGGTTCGGGAAGAGTGGAAGGTTATTGAAGAAATGGATTTTCCAAGATTATCAAAATTGAGTCTACCAAATGTTCTTGATCCAGATGATTTGTATGTTGTATGAGAATTCATTGTTGTATAAAACCTTCTTTGAATTTGCTAAACAAATGAAAGCAATTTTAACATCTATTCTGAATAGATACTAATGAATATCTTGTTTTTATGTGTTTATGATGATCTCTCTATTTCTGTGCTTTGTTAAATAGGGTAAAATGTGGTGAACTGGAATATTATGACAAGGCTTATGATCGTGTCAACATTAAGAATAAAGTCCCACTTGCCTTGCAAAACAGGATTTTCCATAAAGTCACAACGACTGATGATCCTGTTATCAGAAATGTAAGAAAACTTTACTTGCTTTCATTGAATTAAATGGTTTGGATAACCTTCATAATGATAACCACCAATGTTAACCACCAATCATGACCAGTTATTAACCACCAATCATGACCAATTATTAACCACCAATCATGACCAATTATTAACCACCAATCATGACCAATTATTAACCACCAATCATGACCAATTATTAACCACCAATCATGACCAATTATTAACCACCAATCATGACCAGTTATTAACCACCAATCATGACCAATTATTAACCACCAATCATGACCAGTTATTAACCACCAATCATGACCAATTATTAACCACCAATCATGACCAGTTATTAACCACCAATCATGACCAGTTATTAACCACCAATCATGACCAGTTATTAACCACCAATCATGACCAGTTATTAACGCCAATCATGACAAGCTATTAACCACCAATCATGACCAGTTATTAACCACCAATCATGACCAGTTATTAACCACCAATCATGACCAGTTATTAACCACCAATCATGACCAGTTATTAACCACCAATAATAACCAAGAATTATAAGCACATGCATGTTACAAATGAATTGTAGGAACAAAATATAAAAATATTTACTTTATTGAAAAATTTAATTGTTCAATTTACTTTGATTTTACCAGATTTTAATGAAAGGAAATGTGTTTGCTACAGACACCATTATATCTACATTGATGACCTGCACAAGATCTGTGTACTCTTGGGACATTATAGCACATGTATGGATAGAATTTTTGTGAGAATTATCAATATACTATTAGTGATATTTATAACTATAAATTAAGTATTTATTTCATGTGATTTTAGCGTGTTGGCTCAAAACTGTTTTTGACATGAGAGATGAATCAGCATTTGGTTTGTAAATTTTTGTTTTAATTGATAATTTAAGAAACAACAAGCTGTTTTTATTATTGATCTACGTTTTTAGATCTTTTGACTGTTAATGAAACAGCTGTGGAAACACCTATAGATGATAATGCAGAGAAAAGCATAAACTCTTGAAACCTTGGTCTGAAGCAACTTTTATAAACCAAAATTTCTCGCAGCAAGTCTTAAAACGCTCAGAGGAAAAGGAGAAGTTTGATAAACCAAATCCTTTCATTGCTGAAGATAATGAAGAAGAAGAAAAGGTGGCATCTGTTGGTTACAGGTAAATTGTTCTTGTATAAATATAGATTGAAGACTAAGGTCTTAAAAAGGAGATATTGTGCTTTACAGCATGTATAAAAAAATTAGAACATTTAAAAAATGTCCAGCAAACTATCATTTCATCAACATCCATGTATTTTGGCATTGTCTGATTTATCGCTGTTCAAACCGAGCTCTAGCATGTAGGGCTAGAATTCATGTAAAGAGAGGTAAAATACAGGCCAACAGAGAGGGCTTGCCCTTTAGAGCTCATGTTAACAGCCCCTAAGAACCATGTGATATTTCTTCCATTACTTTGTTTAAATACTGATGAGTTATAAATTTTCTTTAGAGTAAAGATACTATTATGCCTGGAGGGTAAAATGTTATCTATCATGACCAAATTCCTTATTTGTGTATATGTATAATAAAATGTAAAGATTTACAATGAGATTTTATGTATAAAAAATGATGTTATGATGCATGTGAGTTTTTGTTGATTGGTTCATTTCATTTTGAATTCAAATTTAAAGCTCGTGTCATTAACTCACTTCTTTCTTCTTCTGTCAGATCCATATCTTCATCAGAACTGCTTTCATTTCTGTCATACGATTCATGTTTAGACAACATTTTGCATTCTATAAAGAAACAACAGTATTTGCTCTCATGTTCATACCAATGATGGAAAAAAAAAATGAAAAAGGAGAAAGTAAACTGGAAACACAAAGCTTTCAATAATTTACTTTTCTGCCAACTTTTTTGGATCTAGTTTTTCATTGGACTCAGTATCAGAATCTTCACAAGAATAACTGTAAGGCGTTGGCGGTTCATTTATCTTCATGTGACCATAATCTTTGTTTGCTGGGTGGTATGTTTGTAAAATGTTCATTTCATCAAAATGCACCTCCACACTATAAACAAAGGTAAGAGTTCTTGGACTAATCCTTCTCAAACAGCACTACACACTAGTGAATGTGGTGATCACTGCTATGATGACAGTGAACAATTTGGTTTATCAAAAACTGCAAAGCTTTGATTTGAAAAGCAGCAAATCTCATAGATCATACCATTGCCTCTGACAACTTAAAAATAAATTTTATTTCTATATGTTAAATAAGTAAAATAATAAAGTGGATATTTTTTTAAATACAGAACAAAGAGTATTTAATGTTCGATCTTGCTGTAGTGAAACTCACACAGTTTAATCATTGACCAAACAGGAAAATTTATATAAAAGGTATACGTACAAACTGTGGCTAACAAACCTGAAATTCCTTGAAATTTCTGAATAAATACTGCAGAATCATGCAAACTTTAAACTTCGATTGATTTCAATGGGTTGTTAACTTGTTGTTTTTTTACATCTTGTAGTTGGAAGTCGGAAATAAGAAAATAAAAGATGTTCGCCTTGCATGTTTTGTTGACAAATGAATATTTTCAAAGTATTAAAATCGGTTGTTAAGTGTTTAGTTGACATTTTGCTAATTACTTTCATTTAATTTCGCTATGTAATCCAATTCAAATTTATTTCAAAACAGATCACTGTGTTTTATGACAAAGATTTGCGTACACGGCTGATAGTCAAATACTTTTATGAAAGTCTGTTTCGTCAGTTTCAAAGACAGACAATGTGTAAAGATACTTAAGAACTTAAGAGTCGTTGACTTTGACTTAGTTTAAACATTTTCACAGAAATAATCAAATCTACATCACCGTATTCATTTCCCATTTTAGCGAAAAATATAAATTTATAGAAGTTATTAATGTACCTCTGATCCTCCAAAGAATTAGTCTGTTTTAAGATTCCTTTAGGTGTTTTACCAGTGGAAGTAGACGCCATCTTATGTCGATATTGACATTCTTGTAGACTCCTTTTGACTTTCACTTACTTGAAGTAATGAGAATCGCGCCAAATTTGTTATTAAAATTTGTTATTATTTCTATTGCTTACTTCCGTTTACTCATTTCATGCGTTGTAAATATGTGTATGTATGGTTTTAAATATCATTCTGTCCGAGGATGACTTTGAAATAAAGTCGAAAGTTTTCAGTTCACTTCTCGTCTTGTTTTGATGCATATTTTGCAATCTCAAGATGTCTTGCTTCTTCGGAATTTGTTTTGTACTATATTTCTTTAAATTGTCGGCTGGTCATGGTTTTTGTTATTAGAACATGGCGTAAATGCAACATGTGGTAAGTTTCTGCCGTAAAGTGGCATGTATAACCGCAAATACAACTGGTGCAACTTAAAAGAGAAATTTCAGGGCGTTAATTTAGTACAATTTTAAAATTTCCTGTATGAGAACAATATTTCTTCGTATATGTATGTTTTTTAGAGTTTGCAACATCAAAAGTTCGAATGCAAGCGATCAACAGGGCTCACTCAGTACTCGTAAATATCTATCTGAGAAGTCTGGCTGAGAGAATGGTACTTAGACTAATTATGGTCTAACTTTGTAATTCACGAACACAGTACTGGCAGTGATACTGGTTTTTGTTAGTAGCGGTATTTTTGGATTACACCTGGTAAATGTGTCAATTCATGAAGAAATTCAGACGCTCAAATGAGTTCTTTTACAGTAATGTGAAGAGGAAAGAAACCACACAAAGGGATGATGCGGTAAGAGTTTTTAAAGTGTTCTTTTTATTGTTTGTTTGTAGTTGCACAAATTCATATTAATTTACATTTATTACCACAGTCATATCAACAAAAGTATGTGTTCAAATTTATTTATGTCTACAAACATATATCCCCTCTATTAGATTAATGTTTCAAACCATATTTGAAACCAATGAAACATTTACGTAATTAAGTTACATTTGTTTCATTGGGTGCTATTTCTTGGTATGGATGGCAAAGGCTTATACAATTAGAATGCAATCAATTCTGGAATGTTTCTTATCTTTGGTTTCACATGCATACAGATTGGTTTTTTCCATTGGGTTAAAATATTAAATACCTACAATGATTTATCGACTTTGAAGATAATCTTATGCTTCTCATATAAATGTTAAAGTGAATCTACCATTAATTTTCATTAATGGTTTGGCTGGACGCCACTTCAAACATTGTAGTGTTTTTGTGTGACAGAATGCTCTTGGTTCGTCTTGAACCTTTCCTGTTTATTTTTTGCATGAACATATCAACTGAAAGTTTACAGGAAAGGTATGCATAGGTATCTTTCTTTAAAGTAAATGATAATTTCTTTGATAAAGCATTGTTTTCATATCAAGTGATTCTGCTTTTAGAAATATTAGTTACCACCAAAGTGGTTGTATTGGTTGATTTTATGGGGAAAACAGGGAATAAATAATTTGGACAAAAGAACTATAATATATTTAGAATGTGTAGTGTATGCTCAGAGCATATCCTATGTAACAATTTGTGGAGCAGCCACTAGAATCACTGTTGGAGGTTTGTCTCAATTGACCACCAATGTAAAAAAGAGGTTTGCTGTGAAATAACTGTGTCTCTATGTTCTCTACCACTTTCATAGCATGTTTGCAGCCTAAATTTTCTTCCTTAGTAACAGTCAGGCTGCAAGCAAGCTACCAGTTTCATAATATGATTATCATCTATTCAGAAATGCAAAGAAGATGAGAGGTGGGATTTTCTGCTGGATGGGTTTGCTGCATTAATGAAAGTTGAATGGGTTGAAACGAAAATTGTTGGCAAGTACATAGCAATTTCACTTGTTCTTCAGTTAAAGAATGAAAAACATTTAATTGTTTTGCATCGTGGTGTTTACTGCTTCAGAATAGCGAAAAGAAAAAAGATCGCATTCACTTTCTATGGAAGTACTATTGTAATGTTGCTTTGAACAGCATATTTAATTATGCAACGATCTAACTGAATTTCAAACTTACTGAGAATTTTAACTTCTGTGAATAAGCTCACACTCAACTCTCGTTCCACTGAAAGTTATGTAGCCAGCCAAATTGCAACTTTGGTCATGTTTTGTAACTTTACATTAATATCATAATTTGTTTCTTTAGAAAAAAAACATACTTTCGATTAAAAAACATACTTTCGATTTGCCCGAGACAGGTGCGAGCGCGCTTACCATCGAGTATTTAACAAAATAGGATAACATGAAGTAATGCGGTATTCTCACGATCAAACATTGACTAAGTTGAGGGAAGCTTAGTACTTTCCCTGTGTTTCATAAAAATTCATTAAACTACGGTGAAGTAAACATATTAAAAATGGCTCTTGAAAATACGGTCGAATTATCCGAGAAATACGAAGCAGTTATGGTTCTCAGTGGAGTGGGGGATGCTCTAGGTTATAAGAATGGTTTGTGGGAATTCTGTTACAGTGGTACTCAAATTCATGACGAACTAGAAAAACTCGGAGAACTTGATAAAATTGACATTAAAGGATGGAGGTTAGTGACGACACTGTACTACACATTGCTACAGCATAAGCGTTGGTTTCTGAATGGACAACAACGGAAGAGTTATTGAGCATTATGGCTACAAAGTACAAGAAGACATGTGCTGAGGATATATGGGAAAGAGCTCCTGGGCAGACCACAACAAAGGCATGTTTCATGTTACGACCTCTTGAGGAAAAAAGATACATTATACCATTTAATGAACGAGGTGGAGGATGTGCAGCTATGAGATCCATGTGTATAGGTTTGATGTTTCCTTGTGAAGATCAAATTGAAATGTTAATTGAAATTGCTGTTGAAAGTGGAAGGATGACTCATAATCACCCCACAGGTATTCACCTTTCATAATAAAGCAACGATTTCAGATCATGTATCAATTATCAAGTCACTAATGTCTATTGTTTTGTCTATCAACAAGTGTTGCTTAGTATAAAGTTTGCTAGGTTTTCCTGTTATCTGCATTTCTTTTCATTTTAACAAACCTTTATAGTAATTTAGCTTTTCAATCCTTTTGCTTTTCTTAGATGTTTTATCTTCAACTCTTCCTTTGATTACTTACTTGATCAAGCCATTACCATGAATGTTTCATATCCTTTTATCTAATATCAATTTATAAATGAAATAAAAGAAGGTTGACCTTAGGTTTGCATAAGTCTATGCAATCCATCATTTTCTAGAACCACATCTCAAATGTCTCCATCCATCTAACATTGCTCACTTTAAATGACCATATCTTTGATCCATCCCTTTTATCGATTTTCCACACTTCCAAATTTCTGTCTTCTAAAAACTGTTTGAATAGCCATTGCTGTTTTGCTTTAATATCTTCACTACTACAGCCATTGAATCCATGATCCATAACAAAATGCCGCTATTATGTAAATATGGTCATCATAATGTAAGTGACCTAAAATTAGCAATCTTTAAAGATAATGATTTTAATTATAGGTTATCTAGGGGCTGTTACTGCAGCTTTATTTACAGCCTATGCTATACAGAAGATGGCTCCAAAAAAATGGGGAGCAGGACTTTTAAGTGTTTTACCCAAAGTTTGGGAATACATTGAGAAGGTTGGTCGTGATGTAGAAGAAAACAAGAAATCTTGGGGCTACTTTAAAAATAGTTGGGAGTCATATCTTGAACTACGGGATTAATGAATGGAACCAGCGAACCAAAGTTTCCAGTGAATTATAACATACCTGAACGTGATGCTTTTTATAAATCTGTCAGTTATGCAGGTTGGAGCAGGTCCAGTGGTCATGATGCACCAATGATTGCTTACGATGCTTTGATGATGGCAAAATATTCCATGGTTTGTATTAGAATGGTGAACCCCTTGGAAATTATAGGAACCTGGAATATGGTCATAGGCTTATGGAGCTGGGTAAAAATTACTGAATGTATCAAAGAATATGAACAACTAACAGATAGTATTTAACAAAATTTAACATTTAATATACTTTAGTATGTTTGTGAATCATACAATAAAAATTACTACTAGGTTATAACATAAAAGCAAATTACTTTAGAAATAAAGTCAAGAGAAGAATGTCAGATTCAGGGCATGGGTAGTTCTAAGTTTTACTTAGGATGATTCCAACTCTAGAGTAAGTTTATTGACAAGATATCAGTGAAAGTATATATAGCCTAGGACAATTAAGGTTCATTTTACCTCATAAAATGCAAATTGAAAACGTTATATTCACTACCAAAAATACCTTCTGAGGGAGAGGGGAGCTGACTTGGCAGGTGAAAGCCTTGCTCCTACAGTCTATATGTTAAAAATAGGCTTAACATAATTTAGAAGGCACAATTTTCTTTGAAACACGTAGCTACCAAAGTGTTACTGTAAAGCTTTGTCATATTCCCGAGTTTCATAATACAACAAACATAGATTTTTCAAAAGACTTATCGTCATCAACCTGACTATTTTGTAACGTTTTTATGCGAGTTTCCTTAGCTTTTTTGTAAAACTCTATAGCTTTGTCGTAGTTTCCAGTTTTTTAAACAATAAACTAAGATTGTTTAAAGACGCAGCGACATCAACATGATTTGGACCTAACGATTGTTTTAGAATTGCCAGAGCTTTTTCATAAAATTCTATAGCTTTGTCGTAGTTTCCAGTTTTATAATACACACTGCCAAGATTGTTTAAAGAGGTAGCGACATCAACATGATTTGGACCTAACGATTGTTTTAGAAGTGCCAGAGCTTTTTCATAAAATTCTATAGCTTTGTCGTAGTTTCCAGTTTTATAATACACACTGCCAAGATTGTTTAAAGAGGTAGCGACATCAACATGATTTGGACCTAACGATTGTTTTTGAATTTCCAGACCTTTTTCGAGAAACTCTTTAACTTTATCGTAGTTTCTAGTATTATAATACACCTTACCAAGATTGTTTAAAGAGGTAGCGACATCAACATGATTTGGACCTAACGATTGTTTTCGAATTTCCAGAGCTTTTTCGTGAAACTCTTTAGCTTTGTCGTAGTTTCCAGTTTTATAATACACACTACCAAGATTGTTTAAATATGTAGCGACATCAACATGATTTGGACCTAAGGATTGCTTTTGAATTTCTAGAGCTTTTTCATAATATTCTATAGCTTTGTCGTAGTTTCCAGTATCATTATACACACTACCAAGATTGTTTAAAGAGGTAGCGACATCAACATGATTTGGACCTAACGATTGTTTTTGAATTTCCAGAGCTTTTTCGTGAAACTCTTTAGCTTTGTCGTAGTTTCTAGTATTATAATACACACTACCAAGATTGTTTAAAGAGGTAGCGACATCAACATGATTTGGACCTAACGATTGTTTTCGAATTTCCAGAGCTTTTTCGTGAAACTCTTTAGCTTTGTCGTAGTTTCTAGTTTATAATACACACTACCAAGATTGTTTAGATAGCGACATCAACATGATTTGGACCTAACGATTGTTTTCGAATTTCCAGAGCTTTTTCGTGAAACTCTTTAGCTTTGTCGTAGTTTCCAGTTTTATTAAACACATTACCAAGATTGTTTAAAGAGGTAGCGACATCAACATGATTTGGACCTAACGATTGTTTTGAATTTCAGAGCTTTTTAAACTCTTTAGCTTTGTCGTAGTTTATTATAAATACACTACCAAGATTGTTTAAAGAGCGACATCAACATGATTTGGACCTAACGATTGTTTTCGAATTTCCAGAGCTTTTTCGTGAAACTCTTTAGCTTTGTCGTAGTTTCTAGTATTATAATACACACTACCAAGATTGTTTAAAGAGGTAGCGACATCAACATGATTTGGACCTAACGATTGTTTCGAATTTCCAGAGCTTTTCGTAAAACTCTATAGCTTTGTCGTAGTTTCCAGTATAATAATACACACTACCAAGATTGTTTAAAGACGTAGCGACATCAACATGATTTGGACCTAACGATTGTTTTTGAATTTCCAGAGCTTTTTCGTGAAATTCTTTAGCTTTGTCGTAGTTTCTAGTATTATCATACACACTACCAAGATTGTTTAAAGAGTTAGCGACATCAACATGATTTGGACCTAACGATTGTTTTCGAATTTTTAGAGCTTCTTCGTGAACCTCTATAGCTTTGTCGTAGTTTCCAGTTTCAGAATACACACTGCCAAGATTGTTTAAATATGTAGCGACATCAACATGATTTGGACCTAACGATTGTTTTTGAATTTCCAGAGCTTTTTCGTGAAACTCTTTAGCTTTATCGTAGTTTCTAGTATGATAATACACACTACCAAGATTGTTTAAAGAGTTTGCGACATGATCATGATTTGGACCTAACGATTGTTTTCGAATTTCCAGAGCTTTTTCATAAAATTCTATAGCTTTGTCGTAGTTTCCAGTTTTATTATACACATCACCATAATTGTTTAAAGACGTAGCAACATCAACATGATTTGGACCTAACGATTGTTTTCGAATTTCCAGAGCCTTTTCATGAAGCTCTATAGCTTTGTCGTAGTTTCCAGTTTCATAATACACATTACCAAGATTGTTTAAAGACGCAGCGACATCAACATGATTTGGACCTAACGATTGTTTTTGAATTTCCAGAGCTTTTTCGTTAAACTCTATAGCTTTGTCGTAGTTTCCAGTTTTATAAAACACATTACCAAGATTGTTTAAAGACGCAGCGACATCAACATGATTTGCACCTAACGATTGTTTTCGAATTTCCAGAGCTTTTTCATGATAATTTATAGCTTTGCCATATTCCCCCGTGTAATCGTGTAAAATACCGATCTCTGTAAAATACCAAGCTTTGTCACAACTAGATTCTTCAGATTTAAATTTATCCAATAGTTCAAGAGCAAGATGGTATTTTCCAAAATGTCTTAATTTGTCAACAAAATATTGGAAAACTTGTAAAGTGTTCATGTTGATTTTTGTCTTGTTGGTCTTTAATAATTGAACAATTTTTTCAAGATGTGGCATTAATTTGATTTCGTCGTCTCTCTCTTTAAACATGTAAAGTGCTTTATATATTTGATCAACGTTAGTTTCCATTTCATGTTCTTCATTTAAATGTTCAGATTGATAAACAATAATTGCTTTGTGAACAATGCGATGTAGACTAATGTCATTTTCTGAATGCAAGAACAATGAGCATTCGTCTAAACAAAGACATATATCTCCCTCAGCTTGTTTGGGATCATTTTGTTGAACATAATAAACCATAATTTCTCGTGGTAAAGGATCAAATGATATCATAGAAAAAAAGCTAATAACCAGTGCCAATATTGAGGATTCTTCTGCACTTTGTTTCACAGCTAAAAGTGAAGCTTGTAACATACTTCTCGGATATACCGAGTTAAATTTAACAAAAGTGGCGTCCATCTTTTCTTCTTCTAAAGATATTTTCTTTAAATATTGTCTCCAAGTAAATGAGCAGTTTTCTTTGTTTACACGACTGACATAATAACCAGTAGCAGCCAAAGCCAGCGGTTGACGATCTAATGCGTGCGATACTTCATTCAACAATTGATCATCAGCATTTTCATCTTTAGTGTAAGAATTCAACAATTGGCAACATTCTCTGTCATTCATTCCACTACTGATAGAAATCTGTTTGCTGGACAATTCATCGTGAGGTACGGCATCTGTATTCTGAACGGTTATTATTAGTTGTCCATTTTTCCACATATGATCACCTACTTGTGGTAGTAACGAAGAAATTTCGCTCAGTTGCACAACGTTGTCGACAATAATTAACCAATTTTGCCAGAATTTCAATCGAGCAGATACTAACGATCGAAGGTTCTTGACTTTCTCTTTGGCGGAAACATTTTCATCTTTAAATTTTTCAACCATAAACTTGTTACAGTTTAAGCGGTATCCAAGGTCACAGTAAGATTTTAAAAGAGATTCCACATTCTTCCCATCGAGAGTCATTACAAACGAAGTTCTATTTTCCCAATCACACGATATTTTTTCACAAACCTGACTCGCCAGTTGAGATTTACCACTGCCAGGATTACCAGTGATGTAGAAATATGTCAGTTCGTTATTGTTATCATTCCTTAATTTTCAAGATCGTTTATGATTTTATCTTGTAATTCAGTGCGTTCAACGAAAAATGATTAGGTTTTGAAGGAAGCACTTGGAACGAATTAAAACTGTTACGATGATTTTTATTTTATTGATTTCATCGAGAGAAAATTTCAAATCTTGAAATGATTTTTCAATGATATTGACTATATCATCAAAATCATCATCTGAGTATTCGCTTTCATACCAATGTGCGTACTTGTTTCTTTCACAACGAAGTGCATGAACAGCATCCTTTGTGTTTTTATCAAGATGTCCGCTAATCGATTTTGAAAAAAGTATAGCATCGAATAATGTTGTGCAGTCCCATTTACTTGTGTCTCCATCTTGATATTTTAACTTTAGTGTTTTATCCAACTTCCTACCGGATTCTAAAGTGCAAAATTTTTTGCCACTATTTTTGGTATCGTCCCATTCGCCATGTGTTAATTTGTAACGAGAGTTCCATTCTTTGATGAAAAATTGAGCAAGTTCCGTTTGTACCACATTGATTATTTGCTGAATGTAAAGTAGATTTCTACTTTCTCTTGATTCCATCTAAAAAAGAACATGATGTATCAACAAGACAGTTAAAATCATCAATTTTGAAAGTTCAACCTACATCATATATCACTCTTCGTTAAAGTCGAGGATACACATGATGAAATCAAACTTATTTATTCGTTTTTAAATTCAACTTCACCAAAAGCATGCTATTAATACAAATTGAGACATAGACAACTACTAAATGGCAGCGATAATGCTACAGCTTTTGCCAATTATAGCAGCTTTTCAACAAAACATTAAAAACAACATGATATTTTACTGGATAGTACATGTGACTTGTTACAAGACAGACATTGCTGGTGCTAGATTTTTATGTTTTTGCATCGTCGATGTCAAATATCGTTTGTAATGGCGAAAATCCAAGTTAGAAATGCTAGAGATACCTCTGTATTTGACGGTGTTTCTATACATCAGTTGATTGTTACTTGACACGTTAATTCACACTTTAACTTACATACCTTAACTGACATGCGTGGCATTCAAAATTAGACAATTTAATTTAACTTGTTTTGTATGAATTAAAACAGCAAAGAAAAAGCACCCATCTCAAAACACCAATATGTCTAATATGTCAGGTGATTGTTGATCAAAGTGGACTTAGTAAAGAAAAAAGCGGTATGGTTTAGAAAGTGAGAAGCGAAATAGTTCCTTCAGCAAAAAGTGGAAAGACTTGTTTCTAGAGATAATTTACAATAATAAAATAACCTTGTCTTGAATTGACCAATGCTACGGGTTTATTTTACATAACCTTGTTACTAGTACATGTTGGAAAATAAACCATCATAATAATTCAGGTCACGTGACGTGAAGTAAAATTGATTACTGTTAACCAATGAGATAATAGCGCAGGGCATGTTAAGAAAAGTTTCATTTTTTTCAAGGGTAATCTAGTTGAATATCGTAGCGAACTGTGATACTTATGTTCTTTAAACCTAGGACACTTTGCGTTGTAAATTTCGTGAGACTTTTCGCAGATTCATACCGGGGAGGCGACTAACTTGCGAAACACAAAAACTTTTTTCCTTCTGAGAATTTTGACAGCAAAATATACAAAGATGCAAAACGTTAAAGGAATGTTACTGAATGATGCAGATCTAATACTAAATACCAAAAAAGATGAAAAGACTCACGCTGCTCACTGATCATTTAAGGTGAAAGGAAAAAAAGACTACAGCAAAAACAAAAATGAACACCAGCATTCTTATAAATGAATATGTCACTCACGAGGACATTTTACACTTATTGTCTACAAAAAAGAACAATTTAATCTGTTTCTTCCACTACAAAGGAAAAAAGTCAGTACATTGTGCTAAAAAAGATGATAAAGAAAAAATTGATTAGGTGGCGTTTATCACAAATAAAAAGAGAATAGATTTGATTGGATAATTAATTCTGGTGCCACTTAGCATATGAAGTGTGAACATGACTATTTATCGGACTATGAAGAGTTGAGAAAGCCAACGAAAGTAATTCATGGGGATGAACGTTTAATATTGGTTTATGGGAAAGGAACTTACCACGTGGCCATTGATTTATATAAGTCACATTAACGTAGCGTAATCTGGGGCAAAGTGCAACATTTCCCATTGAAAATGAAATACCTGAGCCGTTAAACGAAGCTTAAATTTAAGAGTCAGCCAGTGGCTTCTCCGTGATGTATGTCATGTAAGAAAAGTAAAATTTAACACATTTTTTTGACACAGAAAATATATGGTGGCCGTCAAATTAAGACACTTTGCGAGCAAATTTTAATTGGTTCGACAAAGTTATGTTGGGTTAACAGGTATTTTGAATTATTTTGTTTAATACGAGGGGGATCAGTTGCGTGCTAGGAACACTCCAGGGGGGGCAGTCAGGTACTAGCTGCTACTAAAATGAGCCCTAAATATATACACTTTAAAAACGGGGCCCAAACCCTGATCCGAGAACCCAAGGTGCGAGTCGTGTTTGGGGAGTCCGAGGGTAAATGCTCTCAGGGAAAATTCTTTATTAAGAAGCTCTAAAATGCCATTTCCTGGACTTTGAGGAGTGAAATCATTCTAACCGTATAATGCCAAATGCGTTTCTCCAATACAATTTTAAAATTTGACGCCCTTATTCCTTACAGCGCCTCCTAAAAATAAACATCTGAGGGAGCCACGGCCCCAGCCCCCGTCCAGCACGTCACTGGGAGGATGTTGGTAATTTCTCCACAGTTTTTTAGCGTGGATGTTGTTGCTTAAACTGAAACATCATTTTACTAAAAAATGCCTTTGACAACTTTTATATTTGAGATTTTAAATACCGTACTTTTAAAAGTCAGGGTTCTTCTGTCGATGACTATGAATGTACAAGCTTCAAATGTTTTAAGATTATCTGTGTTGTGGAACAGTTATATTAAGTAAAATTGAGAATTGTGTGTCGACTGCGCGTACAGTAGGATAGTAAACAGTCCCAAAAACGAATTGGCAGACGCATAACTGCTTTGTGCTAACGCGCAAAGGAGAAAATTGCTACACGTGGTCCTTCGAGTTGGAGATATTTTAGTTGGAGATCTTTTTGGAAATTTAAGTTAGTTAGTCCAATAGCAGAATGGATGAATTTATGAAAAAGAAACGAGTGCGCGCAGAACATAGAGGATCAGCGAGGAAAATTGCTAGTAAATTAAAAGAGAAAATACGAGAAACGGACGGCGAGATCGATAGAAACAAACTGAGACAACTACGAGATGGATTGAACGACAAGATCGCAACATTGAAAATCCTTGATGACGCGATTATCGATATGCTGAACAAAAACAATGAGGAAAATACGGAAGAATTGGGAAAAGAATTTGAAGATGCGGACGAGATACAGGCAGACCTCGAGAGAGTAATTTTGGATGTGAACGACATCGTCAAGGAGTCTAAAGCCCGCCGCACCCTGGTGAACTTGCCGCGCGTACTTGTTATTCGTGACAAGTACGATCGACAGAATTTCCTAGTGTGCGTGGAAGTTAGAACAACATTTGTTATTCGTGACAGATGAGTCAAAATATCAAACGCGTTTGATAATTTGACTCATCTGTCTGCAACTAAACGACAAGAAATGTCGATCGTACTTGCACGAAATGCTAAAGCTATGTGCCAGTTGAAACGGCAACAACGACATTAAATGGCACGCTGAACAGCAGTGTAAGTAGTGAGACGCGCAGAGTTATATAAGCAAAACTCCTAAATGTGGAAGTAAAGAAATTTAGCGGAGGGCTGCAAGAATGGCAAGAGTTTTTGGATTGGTTTGATAGTGCGGTGAATAATAATGACGGATTGGCTGAAGTAGCAAGTTTGCGTATTTAAGGAGTCTTTTACTGGAACCTGTAAGATCGACAATATCGGAATTTTCCTAAACTTTAGCGAACTATCACGAAGCTGTAGATTTGTTGAAACGAAGATACGGGAAAAAGAATGTGATCAAGAAAGCGCATATCTAGGAGTTAATGAACGTAAAACCCGTAACGGACAAAAGAGACATCGACAAGCTTCGGCTGTTGTACGACACCTGCGAGACAAGCTACCGGGGTTTGAAGGCCTTAGGAGTGGACAAAGCCGTATATACTTCTATCGTAATACCGGAAGTCATTGCGTAGTTGCCGGACGCTTTTCAATTGACAATAACAAGAGGTTCGATTTAACGGAATGGTCAATGAAAGATGCGTTGAACGCAATTCTTAAAGAGTTGGAGCTTCGAGAAGCTCACACACCGATCGGCGAGAAAACCAAGAGACAAAATGGGGAGAAACAACAAGAAACGTCGCGACAAAGACATATGGGGTCAGCATCATCACTTTACGCGAAGCACGAGAGTTGCAACGAGGTGTCAATAAACGGTAAAGCGAAAAGAAAATGCGTTTATTGTCTCGGGGAACACAATCCAGAGGAATGTAAGAAAATAACCAATGTAACTGAGAGAAAACAACTCATTCGCAAGTACGGAAGATGTTTTATTTGTTTGAAGAAAGGAATTAATGAATTGTAATAGTAATGATAAATGTAATGCTGTGAGAAGGGCCCACCATAGGTCAATTTGTGAAGCCAATGGGATTCTTACAGGCGATGTTCAAACCAACCATTCTATTCTGGGATCACATTGTAGGGTAGCATTACAGACAGCACAGGCTTTCATTAAGGGAGATAAGGGACGTGTTAGGGTCAGAGTGTTGTTTGATTCAAGAAGTCATTTGTGAATAGAAAGATTAAACAGAGAGCAGGTATTCAGGCTAGTAGAAAAGAATGGATAGAAATCAAGTTGTTTGGTGAAGAGAAGGCTAAAGGTAAGTTGCGAGAAGTATTTCAATTAGAGTTGTTGTCAGTTACGGGGGGGGGGAGAGTGTAAGCATCGAGGCATACAGTGTAGACTGTATATCTCAAATTAGGAATGAACATGTAGAGTTGAGAAAAATGGATTATTCCCATTTGAAGGGTCTATTGTTTTCAGATGTTTGCAAGGATAAGGAAGTTTAGATATTAAAGTTTTGAATGTGGCAGATTATCATTGGTGGTTTCAGGAAGGCAATGTTGTTCGGGGACAGGTAGATGAACCAGTTGCTGTGTCTACTAAGTTAGGTTGGGTGTTTTCCGGCCCCATGAAAGGGAGAAACGATTTGATAACAAACACACTCAAGTAAACTTCATTGCACATAAAAGTTCAGAAAATTTATGTTTAGATAAGAATGTCAACCGTTTGTGAGGTTTTGAAACTTTAGGAATTGCAGAGGAAGATGAAGTTCATGAATCGTTAAAAGATTTTAATGTGTTTAATGGTAACAGATACAGTGTCAAATTGCCTTGGAAAGAAGGACATATTTTTAACTATACAAGTATGATAAGACAATCAAAGATCAATTGAGGAAGGGTATTATAGAACCAGTGATAAAACTGGAGCAAGCTGATAAAATACATTATTTATCGCATCATACAGTTATTTGCAGAAAGCAAAACAACTAAGATAAGAGTTGTTTATGATGCATCATGTAAAGAGTCACCCAAGGCTTCCTTGCTCAATGACTGCTTGCATGTGGGACCCAAATCAGCACCATTGCTCTTTCATATTTTGATAAGGTTTAGAGAGAAGAGAGTCGCTTTAGTGGCAGATATTGAAAATGCATTTTTGAATACAGAAGTTGATACTTTGGACTGGAACTGCCTAAGACTTTTATAGGTTTATGATGTAAACAATGAGAGGGTGAGACCTTTAGAATATCGATTGTGTAGAGTAGCGTTTGTGTTAACTGCTCTCCATTTTTGTTGAATGCGACACTGCAGTATCATTTAGACACATTCATAGAGATGGAACAAGCACACTGTTAAAAAACTCAAAGATAGCTTTTATGTCCAGGATCTAGTGTCCGGTGAACAATCCAATAAGAAAGTAATGAGGTTGTATGAGTCAGCAAGTAAGCGATTGGCTGCGGGAAGATTTAGGCTTAGGAAGTGGCTAGTAATGATGAGAATGTTTTGAAAGAAATAGAAAAGAGAAAGAAGCATTTTGAGGAAAGAAGGGCAGAATTAAGTAGTTCAAAAGTGGTTGATGAGCAAACTTATGCCAAGGCATCAGTTGGGGAAAATAGTATCAATGGAAGTTTTGAGAAAGTACTAGGATTGGGATGGGAGTGTAAGTAGGATCACTTTGTATTTAGCCTCTGGAAATTGACTGAAAGAGCAAAGGCATTCATTCCAAGTAAACGAAATATACAAAGTATACTTGCAGAATTATTCGATCCTTTAGTTATTATAAGTCCAGTTGTAGTTTCTGCTAAGTTATTGTTTCAGGAGCTGTGTATTAAGAAAGCTGAATGGGATAATGAGGTGGAAGGTGACAAGAAAAAACGTTGGGAAAGGTGGATAGAAGATTTAGAGAGAGTCAGGGATTTAGTTGTGGCGAGATGTGTCTATGGTAATTTACTTGGTAAGGTAAAGTGTTACTTGCATGAGTACGCAGATGCCAGCCAAAAGGCATACTGTGCGGTCGTATATTTTGTGACAGAGCTAAACGGTGCCTACCACCTAGAGTTGCTTACGTCGAAAACAAGGATAACGCCAATAAAGTTGCAGACAATTCCCAGACTAGAAGTGATGTCAGCTGGAATATTAGCACAGTTGATGGACACAGTGAAGTTGGCTTTACAAGGTTACGTTCAATTTAATGGTACATACTATTGGTTGGACAGTATGACTGCATTGTGCTGGATCGGTAATTGGGGAGAATGGAAACAGTTTGTGCGCCATAGAGTTAACGAGATTTTAAGATTGAGCAGGAAGGATGACTGGAAACATTGGCGGGTGTAGAAAACCCAGCGGATTAGGTTCAAGGGGATTTACGGCATCACAATCAAAGGAAAGTGAACTTTAGTGGAAGGGTCCGAAGTGGTTGTCAAGTCCCAAATGTGATTGGCCAATGCCAAAAGAGGTTAAAACAACAGACGAAAGTCTTGTGGAAGTCGGGAAGACAGTATTAGCTAACACACAGGTGGTAGATAAAGATTGTGTGATAAAATTTGGCAAATTTAGTAATATAAAGAGACTAATAAGGGTCATAGCTATCATTGGGTGATTTGTAGACAATTTGAAGGCAAGAGTTAAACTCGGGACAAAGAGGACTAAAACATTGGAAGTGTCAGATTTAACATATCAGTTTAAAAATTGTGATCATAATTCATACCTTATTGTTACATCAATCTTTTATCCATGTAAGTTTTGTTACAAAAGCACATTTAAATAGCGAACGAAGGTGAAGAGTGAGTCAGGATCTCCTTCAACAAACAGTATTATAAAACATTAATGACGCCTATTTAGAACATTCTAGTTATATAACTAAGTATACATCACTGACTAAAAACAATTGTTATAGAAGTAAAAATACATCAATAAGAACCTCATGCAGAGTACATAATAACATTGAGATTACTCAAATTCCAAATGACTACTGCTAAATCTTATAAAGTTTCACAAGTTTTAACTCAGAAATAGAGAAGCGTCTATCTAAAACAGGATGCCAATGATTAAGGCACGATTTTCGAAACTGTGAATGGATTTTTTCCTTCATTAATGAAAAATTCCATACATGTATATTATTGCAAAAGTCAGTTCATATTATAAAAAACCTTTGTTATTTATTAAACCATTTTAAATTACGAATACATGGCAATCATCAATTGCACGCAATTATAAATACTTATGATCAATAAAGAAACTGTGGATACAACATTAAAGGTTGCAATGAAAGTAAACCTTAAAACAGTTAAACATGATTAAAAGTATAATTTTAAAAGCTCAGTGTGTTGCATGAATCAACATTTCCCAAAAATAGATTCGGTCGCGTCTTACTCTGTGTAAACATATTCTTCCTGTGTTCAACATTTGCTTATTTTACAAATGTTCTTACTTTTAAAATGAAAGGTTTGCTTAATACAATTAACAGCATTTTGTTAAACACACAGCGATTAGTCAAAAGTGGCGTCGGCAAAAAAATGGAGGTGATGCATGATTGGACATGCTATCCCCTACATAAATTTTACAGATCCCCTTTATCCATAAACAAGTATATTTCACCTCCCATACCTTTGAAAGGTTTTGCTTTCCTTTACCATGCAGCAGTCATTAGTTAGAAAGTTGGTATATCAATTAGATATGATTTCTCATGCATGTTTAGTCATACTAATCGAGATGCTGCTTTAGCTAATTTGTTATGTCGTTAGTGTAGTTCTAATATATCGCTTAATTTTTCTAAAATTACTTTCTTTCAAAAGTAAGACGACCGTGTGAACAAAATTATGCTTGCTTTAGTTCTTTACATGTCACATACTCAACAAACGGACGAGAGATTTAATATAAACAACGCGACCACAATATTATAAAATATAAAACATTAATGACATCTCTGTAGAACATTCAAGTTCTATAGCTAGGTGTACATCACTGACTAAAAATAATTGTTATTGAAATAAAAATACATAAGTAAGAGCCTTATGCAGAGTACATAATAAGATTGAGATGAGTCAAATTCCAAAGGACTTCTTTAAATAATATAAAGTTTAACAAGTTTAATCTCAGGAATAAAGTATCACCTTTTTAAAACAGGATTTGAATGTGAATGATTAAAACACAATTTTTGAAACTTTAAATCGATTTTTTCACTTCACTAATCAAAAATTCCATACATGTATATTCTTGCATAAGTCAGTTCTTATTATAAAAAACCTTTGTTATTGAATAAACCATTGTAAATTATGAATACGTGGCAAACATCAACTGCATGCAATTAAATTTACTTATGATCAATAAAGACACTGTGGATACAACAGTAAAGGTTGCAATGAAAGTAAACCTTAAAATTGTTAAACATGATCTAAACTATAATTCTAAAAGCTCACTTTGTTCCATGAATCATTATTTCCCAAAAAATAGATTCGGTTGCGTTCTTTCTCTGTGTAAATACATTCTTCCTGTGTTCAACATTTGCTTATTTTTCAACTTTTCTTACTTATGTAAGAAATGGTTTGTTGTATACAATTATGAACATTTTGCTAGAAACACAGAGATTAGTCAAAAGTGCCGTCAGCAAAGAAGGGAGGTGATGCATGATTGGACATGTGCTTCCTCCCTTTCATAAATTTTTACAGATCCCCCTTTTTCCCATAGACAAGTATAGTTTATATAGAAAAATTCAGCGTGCTACATGTAGGAAATGTTCTCATGTTATTCTGCCTCCCCCATACTTTTGAACAGGTTTTACTGTCCTTTACCATGCAGCTTATTGTCAATAGTTAGAAAGTTGGTGTATCAACTTAAATATGATTTCTATTGAATGTTTAGTCATACATTATCGAGATGCTTCAGTAGCAAAGTTGTTATGTAAAGTTAGTAATATAGTTTCAGAATCTCGCTTTACTTTCGAAAACGCACCTACGTTTTAGAAATAAGACTTCATACTTGACGACCGTGTAGACAAAATTATGTTTGCTTTAGTTCTTTACATGTCAAATACTTTACAAAGATAAGAGATTTAATATAAAGAACGCGACCACATACATATCAGTTTAAAAATGGTGATCATACATCATACCTTATTGTAAGATCAAACTTTTACCTCGTGAGTTTTGTCACATAAATACTTCTAAATAGCGAACGAAGAAGAGTGAGTCAGGATCTCCTTCAACAAACAGTATTATAACAAATTAATGACGTCTATGTAGAGCAATCTAGTTATATAACTAAGTATACATCACTGACTACAAACAATTGTTATAGAAATATAAATACATAAATAAGAACCTCATGCAGAGTTCATAATAACATTGAGATTAGTCAAATTCCAAAGGACTACTGCTAAATCTTATAAAGTTTCACAAGTTTTAACTCAGGAATAAAGAATCATCCATCTAAGACAAGATTTGAATGTCAATGATTAAGACACGATTTTCGCAACTGTGAATGGAGCTTTTCCATCATTAATGAAAAATTTCATACAGGTATATTCTTGCATAAGTCAGTTCTTATTATAAAAATCTTTGTTATTTAATAAACAATTGTAAATTATTAATACATTGCAAACATCAACTGCACGCAATTATATTTGCTTATGATCAATAAAGAAACTGTGGATACAACAGTAAAGGTTGCAATGAAAGTAAACCTTAAAACTGTTAAACATGATTAAAAATATAATTCTAAAAGCTCACTATGTTGCATGAATCAACATTTCCCAAAAATAGATTCGGTTACGTTCTTTCTCTGTGTAAACACATTCTTCCTGTGTTCAACATTTGCAACTTTTCTTACTTATAAAAGAAATGGTTTGTTGTATACAACTATGAACATTTTGCTAGACACACAGAGATTAGTCAAAAGTGGCGTCAGCAAAGAAGTAAGGTGATGCATGATTGGACATGTGCTCCCCCCCTTTACATAAATTTTTACAGATCCCCTTTTTTCCATAGACAAGTATAGTTTATATAGAAATATTCAGCGTGCTACATGTAGGAACTGTTCTCATGTTATTCTGCCTCCCCCATATTTTTGAACAGATTTTACTGTCCTTTACCATGCAGCTTATTGTCAATAGTTAGAAAGTTGGTATATCAATTTAGATATGATTTCTTATGCATGTTTAGTCATACTCACTTCTAAAATATCGCTTAATTTTTCTAAAATTACTTTCGTTTTAGAAGTAAGACGACCGTGTGAACAAACTTATGCTTGCTTTAGTTCTTTACATGTCACATACTCAACAAACGGATGAGAGATTTAATATAAACAACGCGACCACAATATTATAAAATATAAAACATTAATGACATCTCTGTAGAACATTCAAGTTCTATAGCTAGGTGTACATCACTGACTAAAAATAATTGTTATTGAAATAAAAATACATAAGTAAGAGCCTTATGCAGAGTACATAATAACATTGAAATGAGTCAAATTCCAAAGGACTACTGCTAAATAATATAAAGTTTAACAAGTTTTAACTCAGGAATAAAGGGATCATCTTTCTAAAATAGGATTAGAATGTGAATGATTAAGACACAATTTTGAAAAAAATCGATTTTTCTTCACTAATCAAAAATTCCATACATGTATATTATTGCAAAAGTCAGTTCATATTATAAAAAGACCTTTGTTATTGAATAACCCATTGTAAATTATCAATACATTTTAACTATCAACTGCACGCAATTGTAAATACTTATGATCAATAAAAAAACGCTATACATATAACATTAAAGGATGCAATGAAAGTAAACTTTATCACTGTTAAACTAACATATGATCAAAAGTATAGTTTTGAAAGCTCTGTGCTGCATGAATCAACAATTCACAAAAAATAGATTCGGTCGCGTTCTTCCTCTGTGTGTAAATACATTCTTCCTGTGTTTAACTTTTGTTTATTTTTCAAATTTTCTTATTTCAAAAAGAAATGGTTTGTTGTATACAACTATCAACATTTTGTTAGATACACAGAATTTAGTCAAAAGTAGCGTTAGCAAAGAAGGGAGGTGATGCATGATTGGACATGCTACCCCCCCCTACATAAATTTTCACAGATTCCCATTTTTTCCATAGACAAGTATGCTATTTCACCTCTCACATACCTTTGACAGGTTTTGCTTTCCTTTACCATGCAGCTTATTGTCAATAGTTAGAAAGTTGGTATATCAATTTAGATATGATTTCTCATGCATGTTTGGTGATACTTTATCGAGATCCTTCAATAGCGAACTTGTTATGTAAAGTTAGTAATATAGTTTCAGAAACTCGCTTTACTTTCGACAAATTACCTACGTTTTAGAAATAAGACTTCATATATGACGACCGTGTGAACAAAATTATGCTTGCTTTACTTCTTTACATGTCACATACTTAACAACGGATGAGAGATTTAATGAAAACAACGTGACCACATACATATTAGTTAAAAATGGTGATCATAGTTCATGCCTTATAGTAACAACAATCTTTTATCCATGCACGTTTTATTACATAAACACATTTAAATAACGAAGATGAAGAGTGAGTCAGGATCTCTTTCAACAAACGGTATTATAAAACATTAATGACATCTATGTAGAACATATATGTAGAGACAGTTAATATCAACATTCCTCACGACTCTACTCTGACCTGGACGATTTACATCTACAAACACGTAATTACCGTCAATGACGTCATGTGATATTTGGTTTAACAGAATTTTGTTAGTAATACAGCATTGACCATGAACTAACCATACAGCATTGACCATGAACTAACCATACAGCATTGACCATGAACTAACCATACAGCATTGACCATGAACTAACCATACAGCATTCACCATGAACTAACCATACAGCATTGACCATGAACTAACCATACAGCATTGACCATGAACTAACCATACAGCATTGACCATGAACTAACCATACAGCATTGACCTTGAACTAACCATACAGCATTGACCATGAACTAACTATAAAACAATGTACTCATAGTTTAGTCTGATAAATTTTGTGATTTGTTAACATTTTATTTTTTACTTCTGTGATGTTCAATAAGTGAAATTGGACAAAAGAATTTAAAAACCTTTTGATTTTTCCATTTTATCATACGTTTTTTAGAATTTGGAATCTTTGTTCATGGTTTTTGATATAAGAATTCAATGAAACATTTTTTACTAGCGTTGATTTATCTCAGCAAATAACTTTAAGAAATTACTGCATGTGTCATGTTTTTCATGCATTCGTTTGCCGAGGTATTATGGTGGGCCCTGGGGGTGTCATTTGCGACGCTCAGTGTGTACTCTCTCATCCCCACCCCCCCCAATGTTCCCCCTCTCTTTGTGACGTCCTGCCATTTGCCTCAAATATTTCATTTACATCATTTCCGTTGCCCATATTGGTAAATTTCTTTGATTTGTCTTCTTTTGTGAACTGCTTCAATAATACTGTCGTGTATCGTGGATATTTTTTACATGTAGAAAACACTTTGTATTTTCTCCTAACTTTCTTGATGCTAGCATGGGTGGTGAGAGTTGATATGTGGAGATATCAAGCGATCATAAGGTACTCGTATATACATACTTTGTTAATGCCTAATTATTTTAAATTATTTTTCTAATTGTCCGACAAATAAAACTATTTTTTACATGTTAGTTCAGTGGAGATTATGTTGAACTTGGCAAGTGTAGATATTACAAAGCAAGCAATTATTGATCGCTTGTTGGATGGAGTAAAGCAAGTTAGTTTTAAAATATTTGTACGTAGTTTAAAGTTCGAACTTGGAACTTGTAATTTCGTTTCGTCTTTTATTGTATTGATTTTACTCGAATGATTTGGTCGACTTGAACCTCGTCGTTTCTTTAGTGTCAGGTACGATTTGGTAGTACAACCGAATTGGCTTCTGAGAAGGATAGCAGGTGAACTTGATATTTCTTCGATTGCATTGTATTGTATTCATTTTATTTCATAGTATAATCCTTATTTATCATAATCTTTGTATTTATGATGAATTACAGAATCTCTTGTCTTTGTGAGCAATGGAACATTGTTCTTCAATTTGGCATTAAATCCACAAAAGATAAATTCTTTAAGGTATCTTCATCATTCCTCTCTCAATTCAGTCAATTTAAAAGCCATTCTTAAATAATTTGTTTTCATCATTTCTATGTTCATTAAAGGCAGGTGTTAATGAGATCTGAAGGTCAATCTGTGTTCTGGCTATTTATCAAGGAACATCTTAGCTCTAGTGAAATAAAGACATATAATTCTTTACATAATGTAATGACAGATGTTGGTAGAGGTTGGTCAAGTTGTTGGTTTCTAAATGATTCCAGGAATGTTTGTGGGTAAAACCTTTTGTATGCCATGAATTTGTTCTGACATTTTTCTTTCTATTTTGATATTTATTTGACAGCTCAAGCATGGCTTAGGTCTAGTTTAAACGAGCAATCACTGGAGAAATATCTTCATAGCTTCATTGGGCATAAACAATTGCTTTTGTAAGTTTGATTTAAGTAACATTTAAGAAAGAAAGATCAATCTTGGCTTGATAAGCTATATGATTATCATAACCAATGTATAATGCGATATAGTAATGCAATTTTCTTTTAACGGTAAGCTGTTGATGTCAGAATAATTATACGATGTGTAATTGTTTTAATTTCAGTCAGTATTATGAGCAAGATGCATTATTATTGGATGATGAACGATCTAGTATGTTACCAATGATGGCTGCTGGTAAGAATAAACTTGTTTATATTTCTATAATGGATTTTTTATCATTCCTTGTTTCTTCTTTAAGGCTTAAGTTCAATTCTTTTTGCAATTGACATTGACAAAGCTGAGTTTAACTCTATTACTGTACAGGTATGCTGGAATGCTATTGATATTGTTTAAAATGAATCTTTGCAAATAGAAATGGATAGTAAAAAAGTGGAAGCTATGAATGTACTTTTCTTTAACTACTTGAATTTAATTTAATTTTTAGATTCCAGGCAATATCAGCCAAGCAGTTTCTCGTCCAACATCAATATGGGCTGTACCATCACCAATGTATGCGACGTCAGGAGCTCCTGGTGAAGTTTGTTAAATACAACATTTTAAGAAAATAAAGATTTGATCAGAATTTCATTTTTCTCTCCTGATCAAAAATATCCCTTTTATCCCTAATTATCCCTACCATTCATCTCATATATCGCTAATCTTATCATTCCTTAACCACACATGTCATTTATTCCTTGTAATCCCCCAACCATGCGTTCTCCTTAACCTTTATTATCCCATTATTACATGTCTTCATTTATCCCTTAACTATACCTGTTGTTTATTCATCCCTTATCATCCCTTAACCGCGCGTCCTCATTTATTCTTTATCATACTTGAACAATGCGTAGTCATTTATCCACGCGTCTTTATTAATTTTAACTTTTATCTTTCTTTT